CTCCAGGGACTGGTCTTTTCTGTCAACATGACAAAGTAGGTGAGATGAAGTCTGGCCATTTTTGCTTCTAAGGAACATTCTGGCTGCATGCACTTCTTCCAAGACAAATTTGTTTGTTCTTCTGGAATTCCATGGTATTTTCAGTATTCTTTGCCAACACCTCAATTCAAAGGCATCCTCTTTTCTTTGGTCTTTTTTATTCATTGTAAGTAAATTAGCATAGGGCTTTAGCCTTGTAGGTATATTGCATACATGTAACCTGTGCTTATGAAAATATGTGTTTGTTGTTATAACTAACTACAAGGATATTTTTATTTTAAAAATAATACATTTCTATTGAAGCCCTGAACAAAGATTTTATAGATAGCCATTTTGTTGTTGCTCCTTCTGACAGTGTCACCCAGTGTGGTCTACACCCTCTCTCCAACACCCCCTAGTGACTCTGCTAAAGGAGTAAAGAGAGCGGAAAACAAAGGAAATGATACCAGAGACAGCAGTGACACTATCTTTCTATCGTGAGTGGACTCTGAACTGATGGGTGACTAGATAAGGAAAAAAAAAAAAAGAACTATTTTGAATCATTCTGTATGTTTAACAAAGAGACTCTATGGTAAGTGGAATCCAGCTCCATGTCTTCCAAATTTCCTGAATATGACCTGAGAATTATTTTTATGTTAAGTACCTAGCGCATGTTAGAAGCTTAGTAAATGTTAATTCCTTATTCAGTCAATAAGTATTTATTAACCAAGAAAACCAAATTCACTGCTGTGGATTCAGATCTGACTCACAGCAACCCCTCCTTAGGTTTCCGTGGAGATATCACTGTGGAAATAGATTGCCCAATCTTCCTTCTGAGGAGTGGTTGGTGGGTTTGAACTGCCAGCCTTCTTGTTAGTGGTCAAATGCCTTAGGCACTACGCCACCAAAGCTCCTAAGTATTTACTAGGAATCTATAGTATTCCATGTTCTCAAATAACTCATCGGCCAGTAGTACGACATAAATGGGGACAAATAAAAACCATTATGATAATTGCAATCATAAAACTTACTCATGACACAGAGGCAAAGGAGCAGAGTTACTATTAAAGTGAATAGAAAGAGGCATTTATAAAGGACTGAGAAAAGAGCCCTAGGGCTAGAGAAGGAATGCCAGGCAAGGCTAGGGGAGCAAAAGGCAGCTGGAAAGGCGAGTAGGAGCAGAGAGCACAGGATGCTGTAGTGTCAAAGCTTGCTCATGTCTTCCCTAATTAACCCTTTACTGCATTGCTGTTCTTCCTTGTTCACTGTCATTCCTAGCACCTCCAGGAAACTGTTCCTCCTCTCTCTCTACAGAATGAGTTCCAGGAGACCAGGGATTTTGGAATTCACATTTCTTTCCTATTTATCCAGCATTTACTACAGTATAGTACCAGAAAAACAAAACCCACTGCCCTGGAGTTGATTCTGACTCATAGCTATCCTATAAAGATCAGAGTAGAACTGCTCAGAATGTTTCCAAGGTTATAAATTTTGATGGAAGCAGACTGCCTCCTTTTCTCCTGTGAAGCAGCTGGTGGGTTTGAACCGCTGACCTTTCAGTTAGCAACCAAATGCCTTAACTACTGCTCTACCAGAGCTCCTTACACAATACAGTAAACTCCAAAACTAAACTCACTGCTGTTGAGTCGGATCTGACTCATAGCAACCCGTCCTTGGGTTTCTGAGGTGGTATCTCTATGGAAGAATATTGCCCAGTCTTCCTTCTGAGGATTGGCTAGTGGGTTTGAACCACCAGCCTTCTGGTTAGCAGTCAAGTGCCTTAGGCACTACACCACTAGAGATCCTAGTAGGTCCTCAATAAATGTTTAATGAATTAATTGGCAAAGTCTGCTATTGACCTCCTGACCTCTTACTAAGTGCCCTGTGGTGCTCCCTGACCAGAACCTTCTGCACTCCCCTCTTCCCTGGTAAAATCTCTCACCCACTATAGTTCTCAGCTCTGTAGTCCCTCCTGCGGGATGCCTTTCCTTGCCACCCTACCTGTGTCAGATCCCCCATTACACACCTCAGGGTACAATGTACTCTCTTGTAACACTTATCACAGTTGCAATTCAACATTGATGTGGACAGGTACTTGATAAAGGCAAACTTCCTCTCCTAGACTGTAAGGTAATTGCCCAGGAGGCAGAGAATGTTTGAATTTTGCTCATCAATGTGCCCTATGCTTTACACAATGCCTAATACATAGTAAAAACTTGATAAATATATTTTTAATTAGTAAGTACAAAAAGGAAGGAAGGAATTTAGAAAAGAAAGAAAGGAGTGAAGGAGAAACAGAAGAAAGGAAAGAAGGAAGAGAAGGAGGGGGGAGAAGAGTTGTGAGATAAATGTTTGGTCAGATGGGCCGGCAAGAGTATTCTTGATTTTATCCTGCTGATACAAAGAAGCCAGTGAAGGGTTCTAAGCAGCTGGATTACATTACTTAGGAAAAGTGCAAAGGATGCATTGGAAGGGAGAAAGGCTGAAAACAAGTAGGAAGTCTAAATATAGGAAAGCAAGTAGGAACATCATTTATCCAAAAGACAAGGCAGAAGCCTCAGCAGAAGCAGTAGGTATGTAAACAGCGTGCAAGGCTAATATTTAGAGGGGAAAATCAACAGGAGTAAGTCATGTAACTAATGTATACCAACAGCCTCATTCTATAGAAGACACTGGTTTCATGATCATCTGGCATTTTATAGTTGAGCAAGGCACCAATTTCATAAAATACTATAAAATTAAAAGCCTGTGGTTAGTAAAAATGCTTTATGTTCCTAGATAGAACACATTTAGGTGTTCAACATCTAACTAGAACATATTTCGAATCCAGCAGTAGCTTGATATTATACGTGTTATTAAAGCATCTTATGAGGCATGCCCAACTCCATGAAACACTCTTTCAGTAGATTACAGAATAGTTTAGCAGAAGGCCATCTTTTAGAAAAGGGAAGTAAAACAGACATTCCTCAGGCCCTCAGCAAGCTGAATGACAAGAGGAACCCCTAAGTGCCCAGGGGCTGCCATTTTGAGCACAGTCTGTTCTGAAGGCCTGTTGCCTTCACTTTGTGGTGTGATGAAAGATTTCAAAAAGCCAATTTTGAGATTCAAAAATAGAGAGTTGTTTATTCACAAATTTGTAGCTTTAATCTCTTGGACAGATGGCATTGGATTAAACCAAAATTGAGAGGACATCTCTTTAAGTCTATGATTTTCCCCTAGAGAGGTAAATATTTAGTAATTCTACTGAACACTGTAAGTTTATTCAGGCTTGATGAATATTTTAGAGTATTGTCAAAGAGCAAACTGGAGTTTCTGTTAAAAATAAAGAAAAGAATTTTACTGAAGGCATAGTAGGATCTAGCTTGAGCAGCCCTTCATGAGGACTCACAAAAGTACCCTGGCAAGAGGAAATTCTCATGGAGTTTTAAGTACAGGAAATCCAGAAGCTTACAAGGAAAAAATTCTGATTGCCTGGAATTTATAAAATTATACTTTAACATACATTAGACAATTCCGTGATCCTGTACTCATTGTTTTATTAATCACAAAGTTTGAGTTAGCTAAAATCTTGTTAATCAATGGATATTTCAGGAGGCCGGACTGCTTGTGAATATCCTTCCTGGGAACATGCTGTGAGGGGAAGGGGAGGAGGGAGCCCACCAGCTTCCCGAGGTATGCTGGCCAGCTGATTTTGAAAGTCAGGTTAGAATAAGCAGCAAACAACCAAAATGGAATCCAGCCTGCATCGCTGGCAGAAGCCTCTCCTTTTGCCCAGCACCTAATTCTCTTGAAGTCCTTCACAGTATATTCACTTATACATGATTGTTATTCCTCATATATTCTTATACATATAGCTTCAAATACTGCCATCTTTTTATACAAAAGAAAATTAATTACTATTAATAATTTCTAATAGATTGTGGTAAGGTAGTGCCTAAGGCACCTGACTGCTAACCAGAAGGCTGGTGGTTCAAACCCACAAGTCCTTGGAAGGAGGGTTGGGCAATCTACTTCTGTAGTAATACTGCCTTTGAAACCCAAGGAGGGGTCGCTATGAGTCAGGTATGATGGATGGCATATAACAACAACAACAACACTAGATTGTGGATCATAGCATGTATTGTTCCTGTTGTTAGGTGCCGTTGAGTCAGCTCTGACTTGCAGCGACCCTATGTTCAACAGAATGAAACATTGCCTCACCCTGTGCCATCCTCACAATCCTTGCTATACTTGAGCCCATTGTTGGCAGCCACTGTATCAATCTATCTCATTGAGGGTCTTCCCCTTTTTTTCACACACACCTTCTTAAATACACCTTATTTCCTTATTATGCTTATCATACATCTCATTAAATCCTCCTACAATGGAGTATGTCTGAACCATATTTGGCATAGTTTGAGGTATGAATTTATGTTTCAAATTTATTTTAACAAAATGGAGAAATGTTCAGTGATACGAAATGGATTAGAGGCATATACTAAATAGCCATCAGTACAGGGACTTGTAATTTCCTAAATCAATGAAAAGTAAGTTATATTTTCATTTTCAGCAATTAAGCAGTTATGGCTGTAAAAGTTTGCTTTTTTAGGCTTACTGACATATGTCATTACAGTGATAGTTAATGTATGTCTTATAGCATTGTGACCATAACCAGATCTCCTACTCTGTTAAAACCCCATTATAGATTTCTTCATGTAATTTTGAATTTAATTGCACTGTGAGTCATATCATGTCCTTTCACACTTATTATCATGGTATTTGCTCTAACTGTAAAACAATGTGTTGTGTTTCCTACAGATAATTATTTCTTAACAAAATTCTCTTAATAAAGTGCTTTTAGCAGAATTCAGTATTTGAGGGCTATAAATGCAGTGCCATATCATATTAGAGGGAAGGACTTAAATTATTTTATTCACGCTCTTAGTATGTAGTAGTCTTTTTTTGCAGTCTGTATATGAAAAGACATAATAAAAATGACTTACCACCACAATGTATCGAGGTCTGTACTGAATGGTTCCAAACAGACCCAATATGACGACTATTATATGTAGAAAATTTCCAAGAATAGGAGCCCACTGGAAGCCAAGGAAGTCAAAGATCTGCCTCTCTAGTGCTGAGAGCTACAATAAAGCAAAGGGAATCCATTAGTATCTAATTCAAGAATAACTGTACCATTTTAATATCTATTTCACTGCTAGCGAAGTCTGCATAAACAAACAAACAAATAAAAACTCACTGCCGTGGAGCCAGATTTGATTCATAGCTACCCTCCTTGGGTTTCTGAGGTTGTATCACTACGGAAGTAGATTGCCCAATTTTCAATCACACTTAATTGGCATCGTTTTCATTAGAATTTTTGATACCTATTTCATATATTGTTTTGTGCAACTTCTCTCAGAAAATATACTAGGGTATCTTTGAATATTATGATTTCAAGTGTAAAATAGGTTTTAAATGTATATGGAGAGCTAGAGATATACTCCTTAAGTCATTTTCCATAGCAGCAAATATCAGGCAAATAACTTATGACTTAAATTTATCACTACTTTTAATAAAATGATTGGCTTAATATGACACATTTGGAACAATAACTCCAGGCTTGCAATGCTAGAACTAGTAGCATTTTGGAGAAAAACAAATGCCTACCCATCATTGCTTTCCCATGACCAAATACATGTTAAACAAATCTCATTTTGTTTCTTTTCCTCTCAGTAGACTCTCAATGATAATAATGACTAACCACTTTTTCAAAATGGAGCTTACTTCCTTACTGATTCTGGTTTCATGGCCCTGATGTAAAACTAGAATTAAAAAGTCCCATTTTGGACTAGGTTTGCTGGTCTGATAGAGCCTGATGGAACCCCTTAGCTGCCCTTCAAGTCTGGAACTGAACCTACTCCTATAGCTTCCAGCCAAACAAAAGACAGCCATATGAGGTGAATATTTACATTAGGTAGATACACTCCTTGGAGAGAACCATCATGGGAGAATAGAAGGGTTGTGTCTGCATATGGACATAGCACAGGGGGCAGGAGTGCATGGAGGGGAGGACACAGGGAAGAGGTAACTATGGGGAGGAAGTGGGAGCAGAACTGTTGCATTGTGGTAAATTTTAGTCAATGTCATGAGACAAAGTGTATGTGAGCAGTTGCATGGAAAGTGAATTTGCTCTGTAAACTTACCCAAATCACACATACACACACAAAAGTTCCTTTAACTTGCACTTTATTGAAATGGGCTACCTAAATGAAAATTCATCCCAGATCATGTAAAATTGTTTCTGAAGACCCAAATAAAAATTATGGAGCTATGATAAGTAATGTCACAATTTATTACATTTTCATTATATACAATTACATTTTAAAACAGTTCCAGAATGTATTACAATACACTTAAAAAAAATTATGATGATGCTGATAAATTTCATATAGAACAATGAATACCAAAAATGCCATTATCATGTAAAAATGACATTTGTTGTATCTTATACCTAAATTTTTTACAATCCCACCTGCTGTCTTTGGACACTAATCTTACCCATTTCAGATTTTTTTTTTAAATACATTGTTTTGATAAAATAGTAATTGTAATAAAATGATCCAACAATTAGCCACACTGATGGCACTAGAAACTGCAAGTTTGAATTGAAAATGGCACCCTAGGTATTTTTCTAGTCAGGTGGCAGATGTATGCCTGAATAGCTTTAATTTCCTCAGACGTAAGGAATGTCCTCCATCCAATAAGCTGAATCTAGTGTTGGTTAAGATTCACCTTCAGAAAAGTGTAGGAAAAAGAGAACAAAACATATGCCTGGAAACTACCACACCAGAACCACATTCCTTTCACGGGTGTCTCCTGATCATTAAGCGATTTGTCACCATGCCCTATGCTCATAAAGTGGGAGCAGATTCAGAAAGGGCTAAAGCACAAAATAGAACAGTATACATAGAGGCACCATGTTTTTCAATCCCCTGTTTGTCACTTGTGACTCTAATTAGTTCCCAGGAACCTTCTCCTAAAAATGCAGCATTTCATTTATTGGCCCATCAGTGGTATAAATATGCACTTTTGTTTTCTTTTAATGTCCAAATGGGATGGTTGTGCTGGGGGTGGGGGAGGAGAAACCCTGAAGAGCAGCTGCAGGCAATTCATTTTGAAAAGCTACCCTATTTTAAAGCTGTCACGCATCACAAAAACCTTTATAGTGAACTTTTCAAACAGAGAAAAACCCATTTTCTTTTCTGTTGTAAAATGCATAGGTAACATTCTCTTTTATAATATTAAAAAAAATATAATAATGAAAGAGAAGCCAAGATAACATCACTTATTAGAAAATCTGTATTCTTTATTGAAGACAATCTGTTTCTCTATTTACTAATACTTAGTCCTTGAGAACTTAAGAAATTCTCAGTGATTTGGCGTGACTTGAAATAAGAATACAAATATAACGCTATCAAGAAACAAGTAAGACGTTATATTAAGAATCAGGCTAAGGGCAGCTAGGACAGCTCTATAAACGATGAAAACTAGATTTCAGTGTTGTATTTTAAAAAGCCAACTAAATAAAGAAAAAATAAACAAATTGCCATTTTATAGTTTTACTTATTTATTCAGTTTTTGTCTTAGGCTCTTCAGCCACTTTGATTTCCAGCAAACATTTCCTCTCCAAATATCATACATAACCTCTATCTAAGAGACACCACTTTTTGCCTTAAAGGATGATATTAATAATGATAGCTCAGAGCCACTAAAAAAAGTTAAATTACATCCAGGTTGCTTTGTTAACTCAGAAAATCATGATTATCTTTCGTTGTTGTTTGCCATCGAGTCGGCCCCGACTCACAGCGACCCCTCCTTGGGTTTCCGAGGCAGTATCACTACGGAAGTAGGATTGCCCAACCTTCCTTCCGAGGAGTGGCTGGTGGCTTTGAACCGCCAGCCTTCTGGTTAGCAGTCAAGTGCCTTAGGCACTATGCTACCAGATTATCTTTTAGCATCATCAAAAATATCCTGATTAGTAGTGTGCTGGAGAGTGCTGGAGCATGCTGGCTCTGGCTGGTAAACCTCTTTCCAATGTCATGATTAATGATGTCAAATTGGTAATTTGACATTGGTCATGACAGGATATATATATGGCACAGAAATAAGAAAATACCAAGAGTCATGGTTTTTCTTTTGAGAGCTTGTTGTTAAATACTTGTCAGCACAGCACTGAATATGGCATCTAGAAATTTTAATGGAGTATTAATAAAATGGAACCAGCACAAATGAAAGCAGAAGGAGGGAGGAAAAGCAGAAAGATATTTACAAAGACAGCATAGAAATAGAGAATGAATGAGACATTTGAAGAACTTGTGGCTTAAATACCACTGGTTTTCTATTTGAGTCGAGAAGGAAGATGGGGCAATCTACTTCCGTAGCGATACTGCCTCAGAAACCCAAGGAGGGGTCGCTATGAGTCGGGTCCAACTCGATGGCACATAACAACAACAACAACAGATTCATGGTTACCAACAAGTGTGTTAGAGGAGATATGTGCTCCCTAAGGTTTTCAAGGCTGGCGGTTCAAACCCACCAGCCACTCCTCGGAAGGAAGGTTGGGCAATCCTACTTCCGTAGTGATACTGCCTCGGAAACCCAAGGAGG